TTGATCTCTTGATTTTTGCAGGATTACAAATTGCTTTGGTGTTCAGGATATTAAAGAGCTGAAACAGGAGTCTATGTAACTAGTCACAGCCTGATTGACAAGCAATGAGCAAAGACTTTGGCCCTTCAGGATTTGAGAGACTATGGGCCTGTTTGATGTTACACAGAGCCCAGAAGCCAAAAGAGAGAAGGCTGGATGGTGTGGGGTTCACACCCACAATACCCACCAGGCAGTCACATCTCTTTGAAGGATTTTAGTTGATTTTATTGTTGATGAAAATCAATCTTGCCATGAAATCAGAAAGGATTTACTAAAGTAGCCATCACCAAATACAGAAGATATATTATGAAACAGACTCTGTACTTGTTATTAGCACATCAAAGACAGAAAAGCTTGCCTTGAGAATAATCATGCATTTTCAAATAAAACTCCACCAAAAACTACTTTCCTTTTAACATGTTAATCACTAGCATGTTTTAAGACCGCATTCCATAATTTCTACCATTTAAGGACAATGACTAAATCTGTAAGAAATCTGTGTTTACGTGTTCCTGTTTTCTCACGGTGGGCATGTACTGCCACTGTGTCTCTCTGACCTCTTTCTCCAAGATAATGTTTGTTCCTCACCCTCTCCAAAGATAAGCTTGTAGAACCATTGCTTCCTCTGTTCTCCCTCACCAATCTTTGCCATCAGCATGACTAAAAATAGCAGCACTCAGTCTGAAGCTACAGTAAGTTACTCTGAAGACTGCTCAGAAGCAACTGCTAGAGGTGGCACCAGCTGCATAGTTATTTCAAACCAGCTGGCCATATGGTATTATAGGAAAGAATTAGACTTCAAAGAGATTTCTGAACTGTCAGTTAATTTCCTGAGGTATTTCAAAACATCGCAAATATACTGTATATTTCATTTTCTACATTTCTCTAAGAATATCTTTTATCCTTGCAATATAAAACTTATCTTTTATTCAAGCATTCCTGGATAGTTTTAGGTAGAAGGCGAGTCATGTATCTTGGGATCTGACCCATGATCATATGGTAGGAGTTTACTACTGGTATTACCTTGGATATTACTAATTTTATTTTGCTTTGGATTTTGTTTACTTCCTTGCTTATAGAGGTATTAATTAGGTGTATATTAAACAAAAAAAAGTAATGTTTCCCCATCACCACCAAGAACAAAATAACACTAACAAAAACATGAAATCTGTTGAGTCTTCTTATTACACTGGAGCAATTTTTACTTTATGCAGCTAATTTTATAATGATCTGGGAATAAACTTTAAATTTTTAAATTTTTTTTCTAAGGGTTAAAAGTCTTATTAGATCTATAACAATAACTTAAATGAGTTTGTCATTCTATCCCCTTATTAATCCAAATGATTAATAATTCTTCATTTACTATTTTTAAGGAAAATGTTAAACAGGTAAGGGACACTAAGTAAATTACAAGCGTTGTGAAGGCTTGAGTCAGGTTTAAGATTTTTTATAGAGCATAATTTTAAATCTACTCTTGAGCACATAGAAGATGAGGAATAAATAATTTTAATTTAGTTACTTTTTCTTTGACTTGAACTACTATCCAAATATTTCCTTTTACCATGAGATAAAGATCAAGTTTAATATATACACCAGAGAGCACATTAACAGCATCTGCAACATGGGAAAAGTCTACATTATCATTTCTGAGCAAAGGTGAAGCCAACAAACTTATTAAGTGATATTTTCTGAATAGTCACCTGGTTGTAGGAGCACAGAGTAGACGGCTAACCTGGACTTTTAAGTACATAAGGAGTGCCTCGTCATTACTTCCCTCATGTGCCTTGAAGAAAATGTGTGAAAATCAGATCGGATACATGCTGATCTCCTTAAATGCCTGCTGATATCAACTTAAGATAAAAATGGTTCATCTATCTTTGTACAGTCAAACCTTCTTGGGAGGTACTGACTAAAGTTCGGTTGAGGAGATAGTTTTCATCAAGGAGATAGTTTTCATTAATATCACAAATATACTGTGTATTTCACTTTCTACATTTCTCTAAAAATATCTTTTATCCTTGCAATATAAAACTTACATACTAGCATGTGTGTGTGTGTGTGTGTATGCATGTGGACAAACGATGTTGCAATGCCTATTGGCATTCACATTGACATTTTAAGAAGGTAAATATTTAAATCCAGATTCTATAGCTTAAGGAAAGATTGGAAGCTGGAAAATAAATTTCAGGTTCAGAAGCACATAGATGGTATGAGATCCTGAAGGGAAGAACGAAAGAAGACAGAGACTTGCAGGTCTGAGAGAGGAGGGAGATGCAGTCACAGGGACAGATAAGAACAATGGAGAATGAAGGGAGGACAAGCAGTGAATGTAAATAACTTCTCAGCAAGTTTGCTATAAAGGTGAGCTAAGAAATCAGGTGGCAGTGAATGGGGAATAAATATATTTTTCTGTAGTTACTAAACAGTTATCATAATAGCTATGCATGTGGTAATAGATAAAGGTATAGGTTTTTCCCTTGAGAACCTTCATACTTGGCATCATTTCTCTCATTTCTGTCTGTGGTTGTTGGTTCTTTTTATCTAGTCTTCTACTTGATCACTGATTCAACATACTGCTCCCACCACCTTTAACCTCTTTTCCCTTCCCCCATTTTCCTTTAATCCATAAAAATTACCAATGCCTCAAAGTACAAGATGTATTCCCTTATTTACTCTCTGTCTCTCTCACTGTAACAGGGGGAAAAAAAAACACTATCATTTAAACTAGAACTATGCTCAGTAAATCTTATTTCAATTAATTCATGTATATATCTGTTTATATGATTATGTATGTATACATTTACAAACACACATACACACTTTCAATATAGAATCAGATGGATTTTATTTACTTGTTAGAAAACAAAATTCATGTAAGATCTTCCTTCCTGTTTAGTCTCATTACAGAGAGGCAAAATAGTAGCATAGTAATCAATAATTTACCAAAGATTTATCTTTATCTTAATCAAGTGTTTACTAAGGTAGGAAAAAAAAATATATGTATGTGTGTGTGTGTGTGTATGTGTGTGTGTGTGTATGTGTGCCTGGCTGTGTATCTAATACTGTTGGCAGTTAAGGCCTAATCTGAGTTTGAGAAAATGCATTTTATAGTATGATATATTATTTTTGTCACTACTAAATATTTTTATTTTATTTAATTTTGTAAAGAGATATGAAAACACTCAAAGTGGAGGCAAACATGATGGATCACCAAGAAAGTAATAAGAAACAGGATCCTAAGTAACAGGTAATATTAGTAAATTAAACCTAATGGAAACTTAATAGAAGGAAATTTGTTTTCTATTGGATTTTCATGCACTTGTGCTGATATCTAACAGGCTCATAGGGAAAAGGGAATCCAATTTAAAAATTTATGAACAGCAAAAAATGTCCAAATATGTAGGGATGAAAACATATTACCTGTTTTAGAAGATAGGGAGATACTACCTGAAGATCCATATAAAAATTGGACTAGAACATTTCTCCAGCCTATAGAAGCTTATAGTTTAGTGAGATAAACAGATTATTCAGTAAAATACATTAAGTGGTGAAAAAGTATTTAACTTATTGTAGGAATTCAGGAAAATTCTGCTGGAGAGACAATGACTGATAAAAATATTAAAGCATGTGTAAGGGCACAAAGCACACTGTGTGTGTGTGTGTGTGTACACTCCTGAGGCATTTTGTATATATAGCAAGAACAATATTACACAATACATAAAGCATAGAGATTATCATGTGTCTTTTTATCTCATATGCAAAGAAAATCTAAATCAATTTGGAACAGAGGAGCAAGCTTATCTCATGACCTGATGTTTTTGTTTTCAATTACATGTAATTATTTTCCAAAAATTTATCTATTTCTTCTAAATGCAGCCAGAGAAACTAGAGGCAGCACTGGCAAAAATGCATTCATTTCTGAAATTACACAGTATAGAGTGACTACAGTTACAGAAATGCCCGTTTTCATTTATAGAGTGGACTATCAAACCATTCTAAAACAGTATCCATGTAGGGTATTTTGCTCAAACTCTAAATACTTATCACAATAACATTTTCTGCACAATATATTATTTACCAAGTTTGGTGGCATTTCCTACTACAAATTCCTTCACTTACAATGTCTCATTAATAGTTTGAAGAAGGACCTCCTAAATAGTTTTTAAGTATTCCTGTAGTCAGACATGTGTTTGAACATTTCATTTTTCATAATAACATATCAAACCATAAAATTAGACTACCATCAAATGATATTACTTTACCAATCCACCACTTCCCAACAAATTTTCAAAGATACTTTATGATAAATTTCTACAAACAGTAATTTCTCCCAAACACAATTTTCACACACAGAAATTGCTATCACTTTATAAAATAGGAAATGATGTAGTTCAGATGTGAAATAAATGATTTCAAACATTAAACTTGATATATTTCTTGGCTTATTATTATTTGGGGGGGTGAGGTGAGTTGTTTAATATCACTGAAACATTTCAAGGAATAACCAGCATTCTCTTAGATTTGCAGATAAGTACTTGAAATTGCTTCAGGTAAGAGGATCAAAGTGAAATAGAGCAGCAAGATAAAATGAGAGAACGATACAATGGGTGTGATTAGGTGATATGATTGAAGAAAGAAAAGAAATCCAGCTAGGGAATTAAAGGAAATGAACACAGACATAGAAATATTCTATAGAGGATGTAAAATGTGAAAAGATTTGATAGCAGCCTACACAATGTAATAAAGGGGATGAAAATGCAGAATATATGTTTTGTAAAGAGGGGAGGTGATTATTGATTTTTATGAAAATAGAGGAGACATCAGACCATGCAACTGGATGGTTCCAGAAGAGAGAAATCATAGCCAATGTTGGAAGGACAGTTCAGATGAGCTTATAAATGTGACCATCCGTGTAACAGGTAACTCCTGCATGTGTTAAACATTAAAGTCAAGATCAGTACCTTTGCTTTATCTCTCATCGATCCTTTGCCCAGGATAGACATTTTAGCACCTGTTTCTTCCTGTAGCCTCTTCAAGGAGTTTCCTCTTGGTCCAAGCAATTTCCCCACAAAATTGAACTAGGAAACAAAATCAATAGAATGTCTGTTTTAGGGTAGAGTAAAAGGATGATTTGCACCAAGAATAACTGAAGGGTTAAATGTTTTTCAAACTTTATAATTGGGAAGAGTTAGGGCATTCAGAGATGTAAAACTCTTTCAGACTCCTAAGACCCACTTAAAAAGGGATACCTATTCCTAGAGAAATGCCAATATCAATACTACATTAAACATGTATACTTACCCAATGGAATAATTACATCACACTTTATGGAAAGAAATTTAGATATAAAATTCTAAAGGAAGATTTTTCTCTCCAAATAGATTATCAACTGAATTATTTTAACCTAAGACGATGCACTTTCAAAATTGCAAAAGTTAATATTTAAAATTTATTTGTAAAATAAATTGTAAAGTTTATATTGTTAAACTTTGCTAATGTCAATAATATTATATAACAAATGTCATGACTGGGAAGAAAAGCACTCGATTTTTCTTCAATCTTATATTCTCTGTTTTAGAGTTGCTCTTAGGATCATCAAATAAAAGATGTGAATATATAAATTTAAAAAGAGTGAAGTAGAATATATACACACACACATACACACACACACGTTTGTGTAAGTGAAAAATTGTGGGACAATTTGCTTATTCTTCCTAAAACATGAATAAAATAGGCACATTAAGAGCAATTCTCAGTTTGTATCTCAACTACTTAAAAAATTATCAATTCGAACGTCCCAGATTGTCATACATGCTATAATTAATTAATTTAAAAACACAAGTAGATTAAAATGCACACAAAAGTATGTTTGAGCATAAAGAAGAAACATAAATAGAATTAAGTGATTACTAAGTCAGCATATTTCTATGTCTTAAAACCGTGATCCCCAGAAAGAAGTTTGTCATATAAAGTAATTTCTTGAGACCTGGGGTTTGGGGAAACAATGGGGAGGGGAGCATAGGAAATAGCTGCTAACAGACAGAAATTCTCTTTTAGATAAGATGAAGTTATTTTAAAATTGATCCTGGTGAACTTTGTCAATGAATTTTGCACAACTTTGTGAATGAATTAAAAAACAATGGATTATATATTTTGGTGGGTACATATATGGTATGTGGATTATATTACAGTAAAGAGATATTTAAATATATATATCATTAAAATATTTTAAAAACAAATACATCCTATCATAAAAAGTGAAATACTACCTAAGCTCATGTTAAAAACAAGGATATTTACTCTTAACACATTGATTCAATATTGCACAGGAGTGTTATTATGTATGTGTACATAAACAAATAAATAGTGTAGTCTAGTACCCAGAAAAATTAACCATAGATTATCAATTTTCAACAAACAAGGCAATGGAAGAAAAACTGAAAAGTCAACAAATGGTGCTAAAAAATTATATACGTATATGAAAAAGAAAAGAAAAGAAAGAAAGAGACGGAAAACAAAATTAGAAAAAACAACCATGGAAATATCTTTTATATCTTACTTCACATTTAGGCAAATAGGCAAATCTTACCTTAAGATTTTTTTGGGGGAAAGGGGTAGTATTGGGGATTGAACCCAGGGGTGCTTTACCGCTGAGCTAAATTCCCAGCAATACTCCTTTTTAATTTTCCAACAGGGGTCTCACTAAGTTGCTGAGGATGTCCTCAAACCTGTGAACCTCCTCCTTCAACCTCCAGAGTCACAGTGATTAATAAATGGACCCCTGCATCTGGTAATTATTTTCAGCTTGACCATAGATCTAAATGTAAAAGCTAAAATGATAAAGATTCTAGGAAGAAAGCATGAAGAAATACTTATTGTAAACTTAAACTAGGGAAATATTACTTAATTGGTAAGCAAAAACACACATACACAAACATACACACAAACACAAACACAAACCTGCTATTCCAGAAATCCATTAAAAATTGAATACAGAAGTCATAGATGGGGGAGTAATATTCCCCTTACATGCATCTGATAAATTACTAGTACAGAAAAATCTGTAATAAATTCCAACAATCAATAAAAGCACACATACATACAATCCATACTGTCTAAAATTAAAACAAGACTGTAGCCAAATGATGACAGAAATGTGGAATTATTGGAAGAATCACTGTTACAAGATACAAGTACCTTGGAAATAAATTGGGCAGTTATTCATAAAGTTAAGTTTAGAGGTCCATTATTACCCAGGAATTCTACTCTTCAGTATTTATCCAAGAGATATAAATATGTTTACAAAATAATATGTACAAGAATGTTGATGAAATTTTATTCACAACCAAAACTCAATCAGAAATAAACAAATGTTCATCTTAGGTGAACTGCCACAGTCCGGCTGCAGCAAAATAACCGGGGTGGGGGGGGTGGTGACGAACAACTTGTGTACATTGATACAGCAGGAGTGGGAGCCGTTTATTGTAGGACAGGAGGGGTATATATACATTCCACACAGCTTATCTTAATTAACATAAACTAGATACAGCAGTCAACCAATAAGGAATCTCCATACTTAATGGCTCGCTGGCATTATTTCACAAACCACTCCCCCTGGTAAAATGCCAGGCACCATCTTGACTTGTTTACAGACCCCAACAGTGAACAAAGGAGTTTATACATAACTAGAAAAGAAATTAGTCCCTGGATGACATGACATGTATGTATCTCACACATACTTGAGAGAAAAAAAAACAGATTCAAGAGTATATCATGTTAGATAATATTATGCAAAATTTTAGGGGCAAGAATAATATATAGTCTATTAGAATTCACAATAGTGGTTGCCTCTTGAGAATAGAAGGCTGAGTGGAACTGGCTTGAGAGCATCATGAGAACCCATGTGGGGGAAAGGAATTGTTTTGTTTTGTTGGAGATGTAGGTTACACTTTCCCTAAAACTCATCAAGTTATACTCTTAAGATTTGTGTAATTCCTCACATATAAATAGTATTTCAATTAAAAGTAGAGAAAAGGGAATTAGGAGGCTGACAAGCCACATAAATACTTTAAAAACTAAGATTCTGGTGAAATGTACTAACAGAAAATAACCAGTCCCACAAGCTGTACAGAGGAATCTGATGAGGTTTATAGGAAATATATTATTCTTAACTATGTGGACTATTTCTGAAAAATAAATGGGAAATATTCCCTAACTCATTTTAGCAGGCTAGTATAACCTTGATACCAAACAAAACTAAATCAGAAAAGGAAATTTATAAACTAGAGCCACTCATAAAACACAGTGAAAAAATCCACGTCAACAAAATAGAAGTATAACTAAGAATTGTTGGACATATAAAGAATACATCACAACTGAAATATGTTTATCATAGATACACAAAATAGTTTAGGATTTATAACCACTAATTGTAATTTGCTCATTAAAAAAATAATGTAGAAAAAAGTCCAAATTACATTTTTGGAGAAATATAATTTGATAAAAATTCAAATTTAATCATAGAAACATCATCTGAACAAAAAAGAAAACTTCCTCAACTCACATAAGATCTTTACTCAAAATTAAAAAAAAATAGTGGACATAAAGGTAAAACAATATTGGAAACAAGGTATAAGTACATTCTTGGTATCTTATGCAAGCTCAAAGATAAAAGCAATTGAAGAAGGCAAACTTAGAAAAATCAAAAAGAAAAATGTAGTTTATACAATTATACACACATATACACACACACAAAGCTTATTTTCAAGGATTTTATTAGTAAGAAAGCTTAGCAAGTTTTCTTATAAAAATCAATTATATATTTGCATTCCAGTATCATATAATTAGATAATAGTTTTCAAAAGAGACACTATTTATAATAGTTCCAGATATTCTAGAAACAAATTTATTTATGTTCAAATCCTTTGAAAAACATGGGAAATACACTCCTAAAAACATCGTATACATATAGTTTTAGAAATATCATGTTTATAAGATACTAAATTTATGATTGTTACAGCAGCAATACGAAATTAATATGTTAAGAAAGGAAGATTTACGGAATGCATAATCTAACTGACTATCCATGATAAAAAAAAAATCGCTTGATCACAAAAATCTAAATCCTGGTACATTCTTCATCACTGAAATAGAAATAGGGAAAGTACAACTTCATTAGAAATTAGACATAAATCAAACCAAAGATCATCTTAGACACAGTATGATGATAAAAATGAAGACAGATACAAAGCATTGGTCAGAATGTGACTCCATGGGTATTTACACACTCTACTTCTGGGAATATAAATGGATACAACAATTTTGGCATTATTTGGTAAATTTGTAAATGCATTTAACCTATATCTCAGCAATGGGGGGAAATGACAATCAGCTCAAGAATAGTGCTCTGTAAACCTGAAAGCATGATCAACATTGCTGACTATGTGTCCCAACTGTTTCCCAAATCCATTTCCATGTACACTTCCCTTTGTTTTGGACTTTGTCAGTGTTAAAAAGTTGTATTCGATTTGGAAGGTGAACATGAATTGGTGCCCACGATTATTGACAAGTCCTGAATAAATCAGACAGGAGCTCCAACGACATGGAGGCAGAAGCCTCACAGACCTGTCCACAAGCTCCCAGTTCATGAACTCTGCAAACTTTCAGACTTTACCCAAATTCCTGCTCTGTGTTCATGATCAGCTTCAAAAAGTTTTGTGGTGCTCTGGTTTTCTATCCTGAGATCTCACCTCTGTACTGCCTATTAATGACAACTTTCCTGAGGTCCTTCTCTCATCTTTTCCACCTGTTACATTGACTCTGAATTATAACTTGTAACCATTATATATAAAGAATGGCTTTTGTATGCCTGTCAGAATCCTAACTTGTACAGATGGCTAAGTTAAGTAGATTATTAAATACCAATAAATTTGAATTATCCATGACTATATGAGATATCATTAATAAATACAAGAAATAAAGTTTTGAGTGAAAAATTCAATCTTTAGATGCATACCACTGTTTGTGTAAAACTCAAAATAAGTGAAATTAAACACCATGAATACATGAATTTGTACTA